CGCCTCCGGTCCGCGTCTCGGGGCGGGCCCGCGGAGCAGGGGGATGGCTCGCGCGGCCTCCGGGGTCGGCGGCGCCCCGGGTGGGCCGCGTCTGGCTTCCCGGCCTCGGTCCCCGGGTCCCTGAGTCGGGACGGAGATCGGGGCTTCGAGGGCACCTCCGCGTTTGATCCCCCCACCCCTGGAGAACGGAGAACGCCGGGCCCGTGTGGGCCTGACCCGGTTTGGGGTCCGAAGGCGCCCGCTGGGCCTGGGGGGTGGGTGGCCGTGATGGATTCCCTGGCAGCACCCCAGGACCGCCTGGTGGAGCAGCTGCTGTCGCCGCGGACCCAGGCGCAGAGGCGGCTCAAGGTGTGTGCGGGGCGGGGAGCGGGATGTGGGTCAGCGCCCGGGGCTCGGGGTTCGACCACAGGGTCCGGTCCGCGGGGCCAGGTCCGCAAAGTCCGGTCCGCAGGTGGTGGGCGCGGACCCGCGGGGGCGGGGCGGCTGGGCGCCGGGGCCTATAAATAGCCCCGCTCCAGAGCCGAGCCGCTGCCGCCGCCACCCCCGCGGCTGGATCGGGGCCACGGGGCCTCCCACCCCCTGGTGCACTGGCGAGGGGTGAGTATGGAGGCCAGACTTCTCCTGCCCACGGAGGGCCTGGGCATGGCCCAGGGGTCTCAGTGTTGGTGTCCTCTGTCCACCCCTCAAGGGGGACACCGCCTGTGTCCGCTGTGGCCAGACATGGCTCCCTCCACACACACACACACACACACACACACACACACACACACACAGTCTTGGGGTCTTGCAAAGCCCCTCCTGGAGGCCGGGGCAAAGGTGCCTTCACCGGCTACCCCCCCCCCCCATCTGCCTTCCCACCTCCAGGCCTCTGCCCACCGGCCTCAGCCCTTTCTGCCATTGAAATGCCCCACGCTGGGGACTCTGTCCTCTGCTGCCTCCTTGCTGGAGCTGGATGGTGGGGGACGGCCTAGGGCTGCCCAGAAGCCCCAGGGTACCCCTGACCTGCCCTGCCCCCGCCCCCCAGGATATTGACAAGCAGTACGTGGGCTTTGCCACGCTGCCGAACCAGGTGCACCGGAAGTCGGTGAAGAAGGGCTTCGACTTCACGCTCATGGTGGCTGGTGAGTGGGGCGGCTGGGGCCTCTGGCAGCCCAGGTTCTGTTGGGGGCGGGAGGGGGGGAGGGGTGGCATGGGCTCAGACCTAATCGGACGCCTTCACGTGTCCGTGGACAGGTGAGTCGGGCCTGGGGAAGTCCACACTGGTCCACAGCCTCTTCCTGACCGACCTGTACAAGGACCGGAAGCTTCTCAATGCGGAGGGTGAGTGAAGCCCACGCCGTCCTGGCCACCGGTCACCATCCCCTCCTGTGTGACCCCTCTAGGGGGGGTCCTTCCCGGTCCACCCCCCCCCTCCCTCCCCATGGCATGGGGAGGGGGGTTCCTGCTGAGGGTCCAGCAGGAGTGGCCTGAACCGCAGCCAGGCCCCGTGGCGGGGATGGAGGAGGACAGCATCCCGGCTGCCCAGGGTGCGGGGGAGGCCCCTCCCAGCTGCGTCTGTCTCCCCCCTCCTCCCCCCACAGAGCGCATCAGCCAGACGGTGGAGATCCTGAAGCACACGGTGGACATCGAGGAGAAGGGCGTCAAGCTCAAGCTCACCATTGTGGACACGCCGGGCTTTGGGGATGCCGTCAACAACTCTGAGTGGTGAGGGCGGGCCTGGCGGCGGGGGGCAGCACCTGCCCAGCTGGCCCGGCCTCCCCCGGGGCCAGCACGCCGCCCTCACGGCCGGGCCTCACGCACCCTCTCTCGGCCCGCAGCTGGAAGCCCATCACCGACTACGTGGACCAGCAGTTTGAGCAGTACTTCCGCGACGAGAGCGGCCTCAACCGCAAGAACATCCAGGACAACCGGGTGCACTGCTGCCTGTACTTCATCTCTCCCTTTGGGCACGGGTGCGTGGCTGCCCCGCGGCCGGGGGCCTCCCGCCTCCTCAGAGGGCCGCCAGGGCCTCCACCGCCCTCCCTCCCGGAGCCCCCCCCCCCGCCCTCCCCACTGCACCATGACCCCAGCAGCCCTCACCCCCTGCCGCTCCCCGCAGGCTCCGGCCGGTGGACGTGGGCTTCATGAAGGCTGTGCATGAGAAGGTGAACATCGTGCCCCTCATCGCCAAAGCGGACTGTCTGGTCCCCTGTGAGGTCCGGAAGCTGAAGGAGCGGGTGAGCCCGCGCGGCAGCGGGTCAGGCCCAGGACGTGGGGCGCGGACCCCGGGCACCAGGGCCGGGGGGGGGGAACGGGGGACCCTGCCGGCCCTTAAGCTGACAGACAGCCTTGGCCCCCTCCCCCTGCAGATCCGGGAGGAGATTGACAAGTTCGGGATCCACGTGTACCAGTTCCCTGAGTGCGACTCGGACGAGGACGAGGACTTCAAGCAGCAGGACCGGGAGCTGAAAGTGAGTCTGCGGCCCACCGGGCGGGGACGGAGCTGAAGTCCAGTGCACGTGGCGCCTGGAGGAGGCGGGCTGCCCAGGTCCCACCTGGGGGTTGCGACGGCGGTCTTTAGCCTGGGCAGTCGAGTCCCTTCACCCAGCCTGAGAGGACCGGGGTCCCCCATGTTCCTGCCTGCCCAAAGGCACAGCTTCTGGCCAGCACCCTCCCCACCCCCCCCAACCCTACTCCTTAGTCCCCTCGTGAATCACCGGCCACTGGTGGTGTATGCTCTGGCTCCCAGAATTCTGTGCAACAGAGGATGGGGGTGGCTTTGCGTGCCCCAGCACCTGGAGTGGTTATGACCAAGGTCAAACTGGGGACAAGTGGTCACCAGGCCAGGAGCAGGGTGGGGCAGACCCTTGGCCCCAACCAAAGTCAGCAGGGATATCACTCAGAGGCATAAACTCAGTTATAGGCCCTAGGACAGTGGTCTACAAACTCATTAGTCCACACAGCCAAACATCAACAGTACAATGATGGAAATTTCTTTTGAGAGCCAGTTTTTTTCAACTTAAACTTCTAACGCCACTTCTTCTAAATAGACTCGCCCAGGCCGTGGTATTTTGTGGAAGAGCCACACTCGAGCGGCCAAAGAGCCACATGTGGCTCGAGAGCCGCAGTTTGCCCGCCACGGCCCGAGGTCGAGCATGTCAACCTCGCCGCCGACGGGCCACATGCCTCGTTTAAGTAAACGCTGGCCGAGGGGTGGACATGCTTGCACCTAGAATGTAGGCTGCACCAGCTCTGGCCTCAGCAGGGAGGCTGGGGGGTGAGAGGGGAGAGGTCACTGATGGTGATGCTGGCGGAGCTGACCAGGCGCCGGATGCCCACGCCCCTCTCCACCCGCTCACCCATCCTCATTGGGCACCGGCCCTCGCACCCGCCCCTCCTCCGCAGGAGAGTGCGCCCTTTGCGGTAATCGGCAGCAACACGGTGGTGGAGGCCAAGGGGCAGCGAGTCCGGGGGCGACTGTACCCCTGGGGGATCGTGGAGGGTGAGTCCAGGCACGGGGCACAGCCAGCTGGGTGGGAGGGCTAAGCCCTGGCTGGCGCCCCACCCATTGCGCGCCCCTGCCCCCCAGTGGAGAACCAGGCGCACTGCGACTTCGTGAAGCTGAGGAACATGCTCATCCGCACGCACATGCATGACCTCAAAGACGTGACGTGCGACGTGCACTATGAGAACTACCGCGCGCACTGCATCCAGCAGATGACCAGGTGCGCCATCCCCCGAACCCGGGCGTGCACCTCCTGGCCTTGGCACGCCTCCGTAACCACACTGTCCTGGCTGCCCAGCCCCCAAATCAACTCCCCAGCACCTCGTCTCCCCAGCCCAGCGGTGTGGGAGCCCAGGAGGGCAGCCTTGGCAGGGAGGTGAGGTTGGCTGGACCGCCCAGCAGCACTGTTCCTCCCGTCCGTCCTGCAGCAAATTAACCCAGGACAGCCGCATGGAGAGCCCCATCCCCATCCTGCCACTGCCCACCCCCGATGCCGAGACGGAGAAGCTGATCCGGATGAAGGATGAGGAGGTGGGCGGGGCACGGAGCTGGGGTGGGGGTGGGAGCAGAGGCTAGCGGCTGGGAAGGGAGCCGGGCCGCTCCCATCTGGTTCCTCACCCCGCCTTCCGCGGTCCCTGCCCGCTTCCCAGCTGAGGCGCATGCAGGAGATGCTGCAGAAGATGAAGCAGCAGATCCAGGACCAGTGACCGCCCCCCCAGCCCGGCATGGCCATGAACAGACTGCCAGTTTGGGGACTGGCCCTTTCCACTCCTGGACCCCGACTGGCCGGGATTCGACCCTGGATTCATCTGGATCTCTGACAGGCCTGGATGCAGCCCCAATCCCAGAGTGGCCTAGACCCAGACTGTTCCCGACCTGACCCAGAGACCTGGGGCCACAACCCCAGCCATCCCTCCCTAATTTATTTGCAACATCAGCCCCTCCCCTCATTTGTGTCTGTTTCCATGGGGCCTGGGCAACGGCCCTCACTCTGGCCTCGGAGGAGCAGGAGCTAGATGGGCTGTGACTTTTGAGATTCTCTCCCCTCCCCACACCCCCATCTCAGAAGGTCACGGCCCTCAGATTCCAGGCCCTACTCAGGCAGAAGAGGGGAGCAGATCCCCGGGGTCTTGGACCTATCCCCCCACCCAGTGTCACAGCACAGACGTGTCCCCTGCTCCCGTGGGCCACCCAGCACATGCTGAGACCTCGCTTTGTGCGGGTGCCGGCCAGGTCCTCTCCCCCCTCCTCGCCCAGCAGCTCAGCAGGCAGATGGAGCGCCCGGGGCACTTAGGATCCCTCCAGACCTAAGGATGGCAGCGTGGGGTTGGGATTCCCGTGCCAGCCCGTGCCCCTCCCCCACTGCTGTGGTTGGGGGGGGGGGCCTCCAGGAGCAGTGGGCTGTGGGCCACCCCCATGCCTAGCCTGCTGTTCCCCAGCCCTGGGCTCCGTCCACCATCCCTCCTCCCGCATGAGCCCTTCCCGAGGCCCCATTCTCAGTTTTGCTAAGTTGTGAATGCCCTCCTGTCCCGTTGGCGGGAGAACAATGTTGGTGAACGTGGCTGCGGGTGTCCGAGTGCTCCTTTCGCCCCTGGGCCGAGTGGGGGCGGAAGTTGGGGGCGCTGGCCCCGGCGATAGGGCTCTATCAGCGCCCGCAGCGCCTGCGGAGGCCGCCCCAGGTTATTTCTGGCCCGGCAGCTGTGCTGTGGTCGCTGGACCAGGAGGAGGGCCGTGGCGGCCTTATCTCCTGGTCCTCGGGCAAACGCCTCCACTCCAGAGCAAGCCGGGCCACCGTCCTCTCGCCATGGGCTCTGGTGAGTCTGGTGGCTGGGCCAGGCCACACCCTGAGCAGAGACGGGTCGGGAGGCCCTCTGGTTTGGGCTGCAGTGGGGGGATTGGGGTCAGACTTGGAGGAAACTTGCAGCCAGTGCTGGCGGGGTGGTCGCGGTGGCCGGCGCGAGGCTGGCGAGCCCTGGGGGAGCGCCGGGGGGGAGGGGTGTCTCCGGGGCTGGGGGTCAGGCCGGGCGCCGAGGGACCCCCTAGCTGCCCAGCAAGCCGCCCGGCTCACCCTCACCGCGCCGCTTCCTTTCCAGGGCCGCGCGGGGCGCTGGGCCTGTGGCTGCTGCTGCTGGCCCCGCTGGGCAGCCCGGCCGCCGGCTGCCCCGCGCCCTGCCGCTGCGCCGGGACGCGCGTGGACTGCGGGCGCCGCGGGCTGACGCGGGCCTCGCTGCCGGCCGCCTTCCCGCCGGACACGACGGAGCTGGTGCTGACGGGCAACAACCTGACGGCGCTGCCGCCGGGGCTGCTGGACGCGCTGCCGGCGCTGCGCGCGGCGCACCTGGGCGCCAACCCCTGGCGCTGCGACTGCCGCCTGGTGCCGCTGCGCGCCTGGCTGGCCGGCCGCCCCGAGCGCGCGCTCTACCGCGGCCTGCGCTGCGCCGCGCCCCCCGCGCTGCGGGGCCGCCTGCTGCCCTACCTGGCCGAGGAGGAGCTGCGCGCCGCCTGCGCGCCCGGCGCGCTCTGCCGGGGGGCGCTGGCGGCCCAGCTGGCGCTGCTCGGCCTCGGGCTGCTGCACGCGCTGCTGCTGGCGCTGCTGCTGCGTCGCCTGCGGAGGCTGCGCGCCCGCGCCCTCCGCCGCCTGTCGCTGGCCGCCCCGCTGGTGGCGGACCCGGCCGGGGACGGCGAGTCCTAGGAGGAGCGGACCGAACCGGCACCGAGCGAGGTGGGCCTGCCCGTTGGACCAGGACCCGCCCCAGGAGCCCTCGCCCGACCCTGGAGGCCACTCTCCTCTTCCAGGCCCCGCCCCGTCTGCAGGCCCGCCCACCACTGAGCCCTTGGGAACCAACTGCATGCAGCCCAGACCCTGCGGGGTCCCTCACGCCAAACTCGGGTGCAGAATAAACCCTGACCCTTCTCCCGATCTGATCCGTCTCTGCACCTGCAGCCTGGAAACCCTCTTTTCCAAAACCACAGAAAAAGCTCTGAGAAGCAGTTCCAAGGGACACTCACCTCCCTACACCCCAAATCACCTCCAAACACGCGGTCAGCGAGTAAACGCCCCCCAGACACTGGCTTACAGAAGTTCAAGTGGGGAGGGAGCCCCAAAGGACAATGACACACTCGGGCAGTGAGGACACTGGGCAATGAGGACAGTCTGGGGTGAGGACATTGGGGACAGTAAGGACCGTGTGTGAACAGCCAGTGTGCAGAGTGGTCGGGTGGTCAGGGTGGCGAGGCTTGTGGACAAAGGGGTCGCGGGTCTCGGAGGCTGGAGTCAGGCCTGGCGTTCTGGGTGCTGAGGGACCCCACCCAGCTGCCCAGCAAGCCGCCCGGCTCACCGTGGTGCTGTGGAGACAGCAAGGACACAGTGGGGACACCAAAGGCAATGTGGGGCAGCCGGGACACTGAGGACAGCGGAACCCTGTGGGGAGAAGGACCCTGGGGAGTGGGTATCCTGGCGGGGCAGGGGGGCTGTGAGGACGCTGTGAAGGCAGCCAGGACACCATGGGGACGGTATTGCACTGTGGGCGGTGAGGACCCTGTGGCAAGGTTGGACAGCATGGAGACAGGACCGTGGGGAGTAAGACATGGGGCAGAGAGGACGGTGTGGGGCAGAGAGTGAGGACTGTGCAGAGAGGACACTGCAGGGCAGTGTTGAGAGAGGGAGGGTGCTCTAAGCGGCAGTTTCGGGGCCAGCGTGGGGCCGTGGGGTGGCTCTGAGGACAGTTCCGGTGTGAGGCTTCCCCAGTGTCAGCCTTCGGAGGGGGAAGTGGAGATGGTCAGGTCAGCCTGGGGGCCCACCTGGGACTCCCTGGGCATCTGGTGAGGCGCTCTGGGCAGCAGGAGGGGCAGGGTCCAGGCCATGCAAGGTGGGGCCTACAGACGTCCCTGAGGGGGGAGTGGGCACCGGGGATACAGGGTCCCTGAAGCCATGTCCTCCCCGGGCCACGGCTCCCTGCGGGAAGGCACCTCGGACCCGCACAGGCCAGCCGGGGGCTCCTCAGGCCTTCGGTCACCCCTGACCTCTGGCTGTCCATCGGGGCTGGGCACTCCGCGGTGGCTGCCCTAGTGCAGCACGGGCGCTCACAGGGGACCCGGGCGCCCCAATGAGGAGCCGACGTGCCCTCACTCCACCTGAGAACAATGGAGGCTGCTCCCCACGGCCGCCCAACAGGATCCCAGGGGAGCCTCAGGCCTGGGCCTCCGCCGCTGGCACAGGAAGGCCCGGACCCCCGCTGACCGGGTCGGGAGGCTGCTGCTGACACGGCCTTTGTCCCGGCCTTTGTCGGACAAGACGGATGGCCCTCCGGCCGGGCTGATGCTATCTCGGGTCCGCAGGCGGCCGGACGTGAGGCAGGAGCCACCCCGCCTTTGTGGGCAGGTGCGAGGCATCCGGCCGTCCTCCCAGGCTTATCGCCACATCGGAGATGGTGGCCGCTCTGTACGTGTGAACTGCCCCGCCCCGCCCTGCCCTGCCCTGCCCTCCCCGGGGGTGGCCCGGCACCCCCACAGCCCCTGCGGGGTCAGAGGTGATGGGCGTTGTCACAGCAAGGGACACAGGCAACTTCCTAAACTTCCTCCCAACAGGGTGCCAGGAGGGGGCGGGCACCCCGCTACTCTCCGGACCCCACAGACGGGCTCCTGCTGGGCTCAGAGCTTCCTTCGTGACTGAGAGAGACCAGGCCCCTGCGACTCCCTCTTCTCCTCTCTGAGGCCCTCCAGGGGGCAAATGCAGGGCCCAGGAGAGTAGTCCAGGGGGACCCCAGCTGAGAGAAGGGGGTCCCCCGGGCTGTGGGAAGTGGTCAGCAGGAGCCCAGCTTCACTGCCCACAGGCTTGAGGGCGCCTGGGCCAGTACCCAGATGGCAGAGCGGGCATCGGGGCCCTGAGGGCAGGAGGGAGGAAAGAGGCTGGCAGCACAGTGTGGTCAGACGTAAGCAAGCCTTCCGGCTTGGTGGAAGGGGGGGAGGGCTGGACCCCATGGCCCTCCTGGGATCCCTCCCGCCCCCGTCTCGCCAGTTCTCCAGGATTTAGAGCTGCCCCTGCCAAGGCACTCACAGGGGGACGCTGGCCTGGCCGCGCTGGCTGACCTTCTCCAGGCTGCCCGGGAGCCCCCGATCCCAATCCTGACCCCGAGCTGACCCTCTCCACACTGACCCCAGGGCCTCAGCCCCCAAGGAGTGTGGGGAAGTGGATGGTCCCAGCTCAGTGCCCCTGAATGGCCCTATTCAGGGAGGGAGAGCACAGACCGGGAGGCCTGACCGTGCCCCTCACCCCACCATCGTCCTCCACCTCATGCAAAACACCCCGATCCCACGGCCCCTTCCTCACTGACAGGCTGGTCCCTTCCAGACGGGAGCAGGTGGGAGTCCGCCCAAAGGCCCTGCACAGCCTCCCCCGCACCCCCATCTCCAGCTCTCAGGCTGGCTGATTGAGGGGTCTGGGCCCACACCTCTGCTCCCCAGCCTCCCAGCACCCGCCCTTCACAGGCCAGTGTCTGTCCGTTCCTAATGTAACAGTGTCCCGCGCTATGGCGCAGGACACTGTGTCCAGCCAGGCCCGTGCCCCTGAGGTCCGCCAGAGGCTCAGGCCACATCCCAGGCCTGGCCGCTCAGAGGGTTGGATAGAGCGAGCCTCCGCAGGGCCAGGCGGCATTCCCGGAGCAGAGACAGCAGCCGTGACCTTGCCCTGGAGCCCTGGTGTGTCCTCACCCTGAAATGGTGGGTGCTGCTGGCGCCCCATCCAGTCCAGTCCAGTCCTCCCCTCGCGCGCGCCGCCACCCGGAGCAGGCACCAGAGGGCGCTCGCAGTCTGCGGAAGCGCGGGCAGGAGGGCGGTGGGCGAGGCGGGCGCCGGGTGCAGGCTGCCAGGGTCCACAGAGAGACAGAGGCCAAGAGACGGAGGCTGGCCCAGGCTGGCGGGCGGGGGAGAGCCAGGAGGTGCGGGCAGGTGGGTGCCCATGGGGATGGGATGGGGAGGGGTGCGTCCTGGGGCACTGACAGACGGAGAGGGGTGTGCCACCCTCCGCCCCTCCTCCTCCTCCTCCCTGCCTCTACCCCCCTCACAGCCCTCCAAACACCCCCTCCCCCCCGCGGGCTTGCTGACAGCCAGTCAACCAGGGAGATAAGGGACCTCTTCCGCCCTGCGGAGCAGGGGAAGGGGGCAGGGTCAGCCCAGGTGTGCCCTCCGCCCTCCCCACGCCTGTTTGCTCCGAAAACACTTATCGAGCCCCTGCTGTGTGCACCGAGAGGGGGTGCAGAGCGGCTGCCAGGGGCAAGAAGGCGGCAGTGAGGACTGGCCTCAGCCCCTTCTGGCTCCTACGCAGGCTCCCCAGAGGAGCAAACTTCCCGGCTAACCTGGTGGTGGGGGCAGGGACGTGGGGGTCCTCCACGGGCCCCCCTCCAGCCTGGGGAGGCAAGGGGAGCCTGGGAGGAGGCCCTGGGAAGGTCTGGGGGACCGAACCCCTGCCAGGTTGTGGGGGGAGGGAGGGCGTGCACCCGCCGACCAGACGGAGCAACAACATTGGGGTGGGTGGTGGAGCCCTGGGGGCCCATAGCTCACCGCGCAGTCTGCGCCCACCCCCGGCGTTTCCGATGGAAGACAGGCAGTGGGTGATAAATCACCCGCGCCCACCCCGACCCACCCAGGCGGCCCTGGGAAGGGGGGCGGCAGGGGACAGAGACAGGCCTGGAGGTGGAAAGGCGGCCACAGACACAGAAGCAGCCATGGGGGCCCGCTGACACAGGCTGGGTCTCCATCCTCGGGGTGTCTGGCTTCCCACCCCTGGGCGCCCCCTCCACCAGACCCATCTGGAAACCAGCTGAGAGCCACCCTTCCCCAGCTGACCCCCAACTGGGAGGAGGAGGGGAGGAGGAGGAGGAGGGAGGGAGGGAGCGAGCCAGGCCTTGGCAGCCCAGCTCCTGTCTACCCTGGAGGGCCATAAATCAGCACGGGCGCTCCCCTCCCGGCCCCCAGGCAGAGGGGGGTCTTCGGGGTCACTGGGCCCGGCCTTAGCTGTGCCCCTTCCTCCTTAAACAGCCCTCGGGGCATCCACTGGCCCTGACCCCTCTCTTTCCCCGGCACAGTCACCCGCAGGAGTGTCCGCACCCAGTGCTGTCTGCTGGGTGCTCACGCACTGCTCTGCAGGGAGACCAGGGGTGTGGGGGGGAGCTGGCCCTGCAGGAACTGGGGGACATGGTCCTCCCCAGGGAAGCCCTCCCAGGGGTCCACATCACCTCAGGGGAAATGCCATCTGTCCCTCCTTCCGACCCACCTTCCGTCACACCCACACACATGCCCAGGGTGCCGAGGCCAGCGGACAGAGGGTGCTGAGAGAGGAGCCAGGTGTGGGACCCTCCACAGGTGGGTGTGCCCCTGGGGGTCAGTACATAGTGGGCAAGGCTTTAGAGAGCCCCTGAGAGTGCCCCCGATGGCCCAGAACCCCAGTCCCAGCCAGGCTGCCCCGTGGTCTGTGCTGCAGGCACCCCCTCAGGGCTCGTGTGGCAGAGATGAGGCCATCTGTACACAAGGACATGTAGCGCCCACCCTGAAATCTGTAGTGCCTCAAAGAGCGGGGAGGGTGGGGAGGGGGACTTGCTTGTCTCGAAAGACTTGGAGCTCTTGGGATTTTGTGTCTGAGAGAGGCATCGAGTGTCCTCAGTACCCCCCACCCCCTTTTAAAAAATATATTTTATTAATATTTTACAGAGAGAAAGGGAGAGGTTTAGAGAACTAGAAACATCGATGAGAGAGAAACATCGATCAGCTGCCTCCTGCACACTCCCCACTGGGGATGTGCCTGCAACCAAGGTACATGCCCTTGACCGGAATTGAACCTGGGCCCCTTCAGTCCGCAGGCTGACGCTCTATCCACTGAGCCAAACCGGTTAGGGCTGGACAGTCCCCTTGATCCTCAGACCAAGC